CTCTGGGAGCGCTGCTCCATCCCTGAATTCCCAATGCCATGGATTCCTCTCGAGACTGATTCGAGGAATTAAATGTGGGCAGACGAGAAGAAGAGAGAGATAGAGGAAAAAATCAATTGCTGTTTAAGTATCTAAGAGAGGAAAAGAGCATCGATGGACGTCTTGAGTCTCCTCTGGGAAACACTTAAAATATTAATGCCTGGATTAGGATAAAGGATTTCATCCAAATTGAATTCATATCTCATCATCCGCCAATATCTACATTTCACGGACGGAGATCCACAATCGTGAATAGAGTCACGTACGAGCTACCTCGTTGGAGCATTTAGGATTTTATTTGATTTTCTCGACGGTTTCCTTCCTTTTCGCCACCTTCGGCAGCAGTGCATCCCGAAGACACACCGCGCTCAACATCTAAATCTTCATTCTTTGCTCCTCAATTCGCCATCTATCGCTGACGCCATTGCGAAAGGATGAGGTGTGCGCAATATAGGAATATTTTTCACATAACTAGCATTCACTGTATCATGAAGAAGTATGTTACATGGTGTGAATTTTCCACGAGAATTCCTCAATGTCCCGGGATTATTGCTGAAGTGTGTTGCAGGAAAACTGTGTGCGGAGTTCGGAATCTCGAGTTTGTTGGTGCATGGATAAAGAACACATATTTACACGATAGCTCGGTTGCTTGGGAGGATAAATCCACAAACTCATGTGCAATTAACTACACTCTTGTCTTTTTCTGACACCACTTTGGCTGGAGAGAAGTGCAGACGGAACACCCCAGATCGAGTGCACTCTTAGAAATTGGAGCGTAAAGATCAACTATACTGAAGCGCTACCGAATTTCACCGAGCAACAATCCTCTGCCGCAGGGACACACAGTGAGTTAATGGAAAAGGATAGCATCGATGCGTGTGTTTTGGCGCGATACTTGCCACGTTATTTTAGATAAGTGTACACACCTTGCAGAAGACATATTGCACAACACGTCCAACGGTGAATCACTCTAATCACACCGACGAGCTTGGTGAAAAGTTTCCACCTCTTGTATGGTTTCCTGAGCCCTTGTGGAAATATTTACATTTGCCCTCAGAAAGTGCGAGAGAAAATCCCTCAACAACCCCACACCCTCGCAATTGGAGGAGCATTTAAATGCCTCTCCCGCCCATACTGTTCAATGAATATTACAGCTGTATATTCCGAACGTTTCTCTTTTTCCACACACACACACACACCGCATTTAACGCCCTGGGTAAACATCTGAAAATTTAGGCCATCGCACTCAAAGGCACAGACCGTCCGCAAGAGAATTTTCTGCGGAAGTGCCACGGGAAAGGCGATACTTCACAGCGGCAGAGAGAGAGATGATTTACACAGGTGACTCTCGGCCGCCCACAAGAGAGGTGTAGATGGTTCTTGTGAGTGTTTGCAGAGTGTAATAAATGTTTGAGAAAAATTAATTGGATTTATTCCATGGACTTCTCGTGCAGTTTTTGCCCAATTGAAAAGGGAGAAAAATGGGGTGGAAAAAAGTCCAGAGTGAGGATTCGCTTCTAAGTTTCGAAAGTTCTGTGGAAATCTCACGGGATTAAAATCCCCATTAATTGCCTAAGCTGAGGATTAAGGAAGAGCTGATGATAATTTATTACTTTGTCTGCGGGTGTAAATGTCTTTTGGCGTGAGATAATTGAATATTAATTGAAATCTTTGCAAATAAACCGCAATTTTTCCTATACTGAATATAAAGAGAGACGATTTTTCCATTAATTCAATACAGCTTTTGTCGTGCTGTTCTCTGTCACTTTAATGGTCCTTTTCTCACTTTTCACAAGTGTAATTCACCACAAGATTGGACCGCAGGATTTGTGATTGCAACTTCAAAATTTTCCCATGCAAGCTTCTCAACTCTTGAGTGGTAGGTAATTAATTTAACTTGAGATATCCTCTCTCTCTCTCATCCATTGTTTTCGCTAAACAAAAGCATCATGTCCAAGATCGTGTCCCAGATTGAAGAGCTTTGGGGGATGGAAAGGAGAAACAACTGGGGCAAATATCACTCGTCGTTCAAACTCAAAGTCCCTCTCTCTCTCTTCCCCAACAAAGTGGATGAAAAAAGTTGTAATTGAATTTAGAGAAGACTGGAAATACCTCTGCCAGTGAATGCACATGGAGATGGCGCAAATATGATGGAATTTCCTTATGCACCCATATTTTAAAAGTCTTCAGAGATAGGCGATATTCTCTGCACTGATTGACTTATAAGTTTTCCACTGAATACAGAAGCGACCGGCGGTTGGGGGGAAACCATAGGAAATACCCTTCGTTTCCCCATCATCTATGTGGGATTGGAAATTCCACCGCACTGTAATTCATCGGGAGTCGCACGAGGGCGACTCTCCAGCTGCACAATACAAAAGTCATAGATCCACACTCTGTACGTGGGAACAAAGAATGGGGATGGCTGAGATCCATAACTTTGTACTTTGATACGTACATGATGGTGCTATTTAAATGGAATTTTCTCGAAGCCGCAGAGCCGAGGAGGGGATGGTGGAGCTTCAATGGTATATTCAGTGTGGCCGGGAAAGCGCTGTATCAGCTGAAAAAGTGGAATACACCACTAGCGTATTGTGGGTGTTCTGTTGTTAATTAAAATCGATCATTATGTAAGTTTTGTGTGGAATATAGTAGGTGCTCACATGCTCCCCCTTAGACGTCTCTATTGCCTACCCTATTTGGCACAAATGAGGCCCCCGTGACGGGGCTTTTCACTCCAATAGCATGCGGTTGCCGGCTGGGAGTTAGCATAAAGGGCGGATGGGAGGGGGGGATGAAACTGGTGCTATACTGAAGAATATTGCGGATATGCTTTCAAAAGTTGGCATAAAATCTCATGGTGGAATTAAATTTTCATACCCAAGTGTTCGATGCAAAGAGCCATATATGACTACACAACAAGCTTTTATCCCTCAAAATTTTACTGGCATCACTTGTGAAAAGTTCATTGTGGGGAAGAAAGTGTACCCCAGACTTTGTGCCCCTGTGCTTCACCCCAACTGTTTGAAATCATATTGAATACGCTGCCGGAATACTAAATCCACCCCCACTTGAGTTTATTGAGAGTCAAGAGAAAGGTCTCATGGTGAGGACAACAAATCAAATACCTCGCAATTATACTTTGCAGTTCTGCTTCTTCCCCAAGCCAACCCCCAAGCCAACCCCTCTCTGACTCTCCCATGGTATGATTCTGACGAAAATTCCCCACCCAGGAAATGATGATATGAAAGACGCCTTAAACTTCCAACGACACCTCTTCTTTGTACATTTTCCCAATGAAGGAGAAATGATTCATACTCATGCGATTCCAGGTGAACAATGTACGACCACTGTGAAATGGTAAAGTTTGTGATTTGCAAGTTCTCTTCCTGCTTTTCTACCATTTCACACACAACACAGCCATCAGCAAATGCACAATGCCAATTGAAGTCTCCTCTATTCACTTAATTCAATCAGCGAATTGGGAAGATATTTAACTTTGTGAGAGATTCAATTGGAAATGTTTGTGAAACTAAAGGTAGGGGTGAATTTTCTTCAATTCATAAAGTGATTTCCCGAATAGATATCAAAGAGTGGGTTTTGCCGTGAAATAAGAAAGTGCGCATTGAGAAATTCTGAGATGTTGCAGAGCTTTCTTTTTTCAAAATTCCCTCCACAAATCGAGCTTAAACTACTGCATTTTCACTTCAGTATGTAATCTTGAAAGTTCTGCTCGATGAGTTCTGTGTAAAATTCAGCAGTAGATTCTGTGTGCCGTCAAGTGACCCCCATTGAGAATGACAATCGCAATTGGTCTCATCTTCAATCTAAAGCCCCTTTTCAATTTCTCAGTTGCATATTTGGTGAAATGAGATTTCTCATCTGTCCTTTTGTGCAGGCTCTTCATCCGCCTTGTGTCACTCTGTCGCCATCAGTGCTTTCGGTGGCCTTTTTCGAGATGAGGATTTCCCACTTAATCCCAGTGTGGATGGTCTTCTGGCGCTCTGGCTATCTCATCCTGCACAATTAGGGGAGTCTGGAGTGAAAATTGCTGAGAATGCCCGGCTGATGGGCAAACTTTTGATTGTAAAATTCCCATGTGAGCTCTGGCAGTGCGCAGAAATTGCTCACTTGAGTGCACAATTGGCATGTGAAGATACACAGCAAACTGAAGATGACACCAAAATACACACACACACATTTTTGCCAGTGGAACAATTCACGGGTGAAATTGTGCAGGTGCACAGCGTCAAATGCGCTCCTTGGGATGGTGATTGAAAAATGGGGAGCTTTGTCGGGAGGGGTGGAAAAAAAATCGCGGAGGAGAATTGCAGACTTTCCCTTGTGCTTATGTTAATCGCATGAGCGGATCTGCGATGCACCCGGGAAGTTCTTGACGTGGCAGCTAAATACGAGTAATTAGGGAAGTTCTCAAAGTTTCACATTTCAGGCGGGATAGTTTGAGAATTATCGGGGCTGCCAGAGAGAGCTTGGCCCACATGGTGTGAGAGGACACTTTTGCACAACACGATGTGCATTGTGTATATTGTTATTCCGATGGTGTCGGAGCGAGGAAAATTAATGTGCGTTTAATTGCTCAGTGGTAATTATCTTTTGTGATGGAATTATTCATTCTTCTGCGCCCCCAACAGTCACGTATACAATTTTTATCACACCCAAAGCCACGGGAAACAGAAGAAGCTCAGGGGCGGAGCGCACAAGGCCCGCACATTGGGCCGAGAGTTGGTCTGATCGTGCCTTAAATCGTCAAAAGAGATGCCACGCGGCGCCCCACACCCCATCGCCCACCCTCCTGGATGCTTCTGCGGTGGCTGCAGAGCCGTGGCACAATGGGCGAGAGACATTTCAATTTCCGCATAAAGTGAGGCGAGACACGAAATGAATTGGATGGATTTCATAGGAGATACGCACTCCATAAAAAAGTTCATTGCTACTCTTACCGCCTCCTCAAGATGCCGAGGGGTGCGTAGCTCAGCGGAAATCCACGGTGTTCTTGCCTGCCTGCAAAAGGAAGGAGAGGGAAGCATTGAATGTGAGTTTAAACTGCCGGCGGATTTTGAGCGCATAACAATCTTTTTCATGTGCCTATATGGCGCATAAATTGTGAACTTGAAAGTGAATTAGCGGCAGGCTTTTCGAGTTTGTGCGGGAGAGCTTTCACGTTCATATTTCATAAAGTATTCAATAGAAAATTTACGGGTTTGCCGAAAATTTTAACTACCAATACAACTTCTCTGTGGCTTTGAGTTCTATTTAACCTGGGTGTTTTAGGGGAAGTTTTTTGAACTTTAAGTTTGAATTTCATTAAAAAAAAAAAAAAGTCTTTACATTCTCCTTATTGTGTAACAATCAATATTTTTCTCATTCTTCAGAGCTTTTAAATAAGACCAGTGAGATTTTTAGGAAAAGAGTAAGAGAAGCCAATTGGAAAATATAGCAAACACTATTAAAAGTTGCAGAAGAAAGCGGAGAATATTTAATAATAATCACCAAAAGAGGCTCAGGAGAATATGAAGTTTGGAGGAAAAGTTTCGGAAAAATAAAACTGTAAATTTCCATCTCTGCATTAAAAGTTTTGAACCCTCGCCAAAATTGAGCAATCACTCACAAATTTGCAGTATTTCTTCCACTCACACCACGAGCGTGAATACATTGTCTCAGGAAATTTAAATACACAGGATGACAAAAGGTCGGACTCAGTGTGAAATTTCCTGAATAAATAAGGTGAAAAAAAGTATCTCCGTTTGAGTTAAGAGTGGTGGCAAAAGTTTTTCGTGATGTCTTTTTCCGTGCGGCGAGAGTGTTTTGCATGGCGTGCTTTTGGGAAATGCTGGAGTAATGAAATGAGAAAACAATTTCATTTCTCTCACGAGGGATTTTCCTCCCCGACTGAATGCGTGGCACATGGACGAGATATTTCAAATGTGATGAGGAGCAATAAAATGCGTTGGTCGGGATGAATTAGAAAATTAATTTTTGCCCTCTCTCACTCGGTGAAGGATGTGGGGGGGAAAGGGCAGTAAAATTCCGCAACTTTCATTTGTACAGGCATAATTGCGGGTGAGAGAAGCCATTGGGATATTAAAATATTTTTAAGACATCCTCGTGGCACAAGTTCCAGCAATAAATCCAACGATTAGAAAGCCATCATGCGCGTAGCGACAAAATAAATATTTACACTTCGTTTCCGTTTGGCCGTGTGTGCGCTTAAAGCTCAGACGAAAGCACTTTGATAGATCCCAACAGACAGACACGAGTATGTGTCTCTTTTCGTCCTCTTCACTGAATTTTCACACACACACACTTGCAGAGTTGCGAGCGAAGCAGATGAAGGATGACGAAGTCTGTGAGTTGAATCGCCATGAAAAAGTGCGATATTTATCTAGAAAAGCTGTCAACTCAGTAGAAACTCCCCAAAAAAACGCTAAAAGCTCACTTAATTGGTGGAATTCCGGGAAAATTCCTCATTAAAAGATTCCTATTCATCGCGATGTTGTAAAATCTATTGGGAAAACAATCCACGATTTTGCCCACTTTGCATCGCGATTGAGAAGAGGGCTCAGCCGCCAATCGCCTTTGATCGGGCGAGTGTGAAAATATTGCGATAAAGCTCGAGAGAAGAGGAAGAGCCGGTTGTGGTTTTCCGGATCATCTGTTGTCAGCCGCACATTTTATTGGAAGGTTAATGAAACGGATTTAGCTCTGTGCTGGGAGATGAAAGAGTCTGGACAGGCGAGTGGGGTGGGCCTCAACTGGAGGGTTTATCGTGCTTCACCCTCGACGGTTGCCCCGGCAGCCCGTCCAGATTGAGTGTTAATCGTGTGTGTGGCAGCAATCTTGCAGAAAGAAGAGGGTCATGTAGGGTACGTCGAACATGCTGTGATAAATTTGGATAATCGTGATGAGGTCATCACCGTGTCGACTTGCTCCACTGAAGATTTATGCCAGGGCCTCGGCGAGGTGGCTGGAAAATTCCGTGAGAAGGTGGAAAAGTCTCAAATTGAAATATCTCACAGAAAAAAATCCATTTACACAAATTTGAAATTCATGCGACTTAGATTGAATATTAAATCCCAGAATCTAAAGCTTTCCAGTTCAAGGAAATCTCAAAACTTTATCAGAACAACATGGAATTGCAGTGCTACACAATGTTGTTACTAAACTCGACCATTTTCCTCCAAGATGCTGTGCATTAACCACTCGGAGCTCCCCTAATGACTGGAAATGCCGCAGAATCTCTGATAATTACAATTTTAAGCATGTTTGCAACATTGTTGCAGTGCAACCGAGATAACTCTCTGTGGTTTCAAACCTCTTCTATGCACTCAATGTCAATACACTCAACATCCTCTCTCATTTCAGTATAAATACAGCACATTTGCACTCAATCTGCTCAGTTTTGAGATTTCGGGGCGTTGAAGGAGCGCGCAAAAATGTCGAAAAAAGACGACGTGTCCACAGACGTTCTGTATCAGTGTCTCGATGCGCTCTTCACGCGACCCAAGGAGACAATCCTGAAGCCGAAGCAGATTGAAGGTGGTCGATTCTATCAGTTCCAAGTGTCCGATCAGTTTGTGTCGAAGAAGTACCAAAAGTACGGCAGTGCATTTCTCGAGCACTGCAACAAACCCGTGAGCAATGGACTGGTGATCAAGATTGACGACTGCAAGAGCATTCCAGACCTCAGATTCGCCGATGACCTCAAACACGATGAGTTGTTCTCCATCTACATTCCACTGCATCAGAAAATTGCCACGCAACTCCTTGAGATCTTCATGAATTGTCCAACAATTGATCAATTCATTTCAACAATCGTTTACTGCCGAGAGCGCGTGAATCCGTATCTCTTCAACTGGGTTCTCACCGTCACTGTGCTCAATCACTCCCACACGACGGACTACTGTTTGCCAGTTGTGCCCGAAATCTTCCCCGAGAAGTTCTTCGACGGCAAGATCTACCAGCAAGCCGAGCAGGCTCTGAGGCTGATCCCCATTGAAGATCGCACACCAGTAGAAATCCCGCAGAACTTCACTGCCACACTCTTCGATCATGAGCAGCGCTGCGCTTACTTCCGCGAAGATATCGGTCTGAGCTTCTACTACCTCATCTACAGCTACGCCTATCCATTCTGCGGAACTCCAGATGTGGTGAAGAAGGAGCGCCGAGGAGAAATCTTCTATCATGTTCACCGACAAATCCTGGCGAGGTACAACTTTGAGCGCTTCTGCAACGGACTCCATCGTACAAATAGGCTCAGCAACTTTGAGAAACCCATCGAGGAACCCTACTTCCCGAAGCTCAACACAACAGTCGCGAACCACAACTATCCACCGCGCTATCCGGATTCCCATCTCGATGATCTCGCACGCGCAAGGGAAAGTCTCGTCTTTGACAAATCCGCTCTCAGTCGATGGCGCGATCGAATCCTTGAAGCTTGCGATCAAGGCGTCGCTCTGTGCGTAAGTATTCCAACCCTCTGCGATTCCCTTTCCTTTTTCTGACTTTGTGTGTTTGCAGGGCGATAAGAACACTGTCAATTTGAATGATGATTCCGGTATTAATACTCTGGGAAACATGATTCAGTCCTCGCTTGAATCTCCCAACCTCGAATACTACGGCGACTTGGCCAACACGGGCCAACTGGTCGTTGGCTACTGCCACGATCCTGACGGACGCAATCTGGAGGGCTTCGGCGTGATCAGCGACCCTGCGACATGTCTTCGAGACCCCGTTTTCTATCGCTGGTACTCTCTCATCGTGGACATGTGCGACCATCACAAGAAGTATCTGCCGCACTACACCAAAGACGAACTGGGCTTCCCCGGCATCAAGATCAGCCACGTGGAGACGTTCATCCTCACGAAGCAGGGATCTCCCGTGAAGAACGAGTTGCTGACTTACTGGGAGAAGAATGACATTAACATTTCCAAAGGACTGGATTTCTCACCAACCGAACCGATTTTCGCGCGCATAACTCATTTGCAGCACCAGAAATTCAGCTACAAAATTGTGGTGGAGAACAGTGGATCTCAGTGTGAAGCATCTGTGCGAATCTTCTTGGCCCCGAAGAAAGATGAGAACAAGCTTCCCTTCACCTTCAATGACCAGAGGAATTTCTTCATCGAAATGGATTACTTCAACACAACTCGTAAGAATTTTCCAACACTCTTTGTGGTTTTGTCTGAAGTTTTTACCTTTCTCAGTCCAATCCGGATCCAATACCATCGTCAGACGGTCTTGGGACTCGAGTATCCTGGACTGGATGAAGTTCACGGTCAGCAATAATTTCCGACAGAAGCAGAGTGAGAAGCCCAACAATTACACAGGCTTGGGATGGCCACTGAATCTGCTCGTGCCGAAGGGAAAGAGTGGTGGATTCGAGTGTGAACTCTTCGTGATGGTGGGAAAGGACTTGATTAAGCCTCACGGCAGTGAGAGGAGTTTGGGCTTCCCATTCGATCGACCTGCGCCATCGAGAGTTCACTCACTCAGTGACTTCCTCTGCGAGAACATGTTCGTTCAGCCAGTCAGACTCTACTTCCTGAATCAGACCCTGGACAAGACGGAAGGCACGGCGCAGCCTTTTGTCAATTGAGGCGAAGCATGAAGACATCTTTCACTAATATTTCAAGCAATAAAGCGTAGCTATTTAACAAAAAAAATTCAGAGCGCTCATCCTTTTGACGGTTTTTAACTCTTGAAGATCATCAAAATGTCTTGACCTTATTCCGCTTTCCCACCACGCCCAAGACATCACGCAATTTTCAACCCTGCAAATTGCTGGGGTAGAGAAAATCCCTCGTCGGCACTGAGATTGGCTCAATTAGGAAAGAGGATGCCTCGAAAATTCGTGGAATATCACGCAATTAGCGAGGAGTCAAGTGGAGCTCCCCTGTATTTTGCATGAGGGGATTATCTCATAGTAAATTCATCAAAATATAATTTGCTAATGCGTATTAAAAGAGAGAAATCTCGTATTATCATCAAATTTCTATGCCATGCCCATATTTCACATAGTAATTTCTCTAATATGAGAGCGGTGGGGCGGCAGCACCACCCCCGAAAACAGATTATATTCTCCTATTGCTCTCCCCGGGATTGCTCATCCCGCGCAGAGAGATGGAGAGTGATGTGTGCGGGCCAGAAGACGATGCCAACATCTCATCACGCCACGTTTATCATCTGTGCAATAAACAGCACAGCTCCGACAGTCTTGTGAGCATCCAGCAAAGACAAATTGAAAGTTCCCTCTCGTGCCGCACTAGAGTTGAGGGTTGAAGCGAAGCTCTTTGTGCCCAGTTAAACTACCACCACATTTCATTATGTTTATATTTAGCCGCCCGATGTACAGCTTTCGGGGGAGGGTTGGCTGTATCACGCAGTAATGCAATCTTCCCTTCGGTACATCCAACGACAACCCCTCGGATTTCACTCCATGCGGATAAACCTCTTTGGAGCGCACAGATTCAACTTTCCACCCGCTCTCGCACTTCCACGAAATTCAACGCAATACAACACGCTATAACAATCATTATAAAATATTACACAATATTTATTCAGCACAGAATTGGCCTTAGAACAGCTGTGGGAAAAAGTCGCTGTTGGGAGTTTGCCGTGTGGGTTTCACTCCGCTGCCGAAGAGAATCGGTTTGGAGAAAAGGCCAAATTGGGCGGTCGAACCCTTTCCCGTCGCCACTTCGATGAAATTACAGACTCTTGTGTCTTGCTATTTACTCTCCACCGGGAGGAGCTGTGCAAATATTGCGAGTGCCAGTCTGAAATTATTTTAGGCATTCTCTCCCTTAGTCAAAATTGCTCATGGGCCCCACTGGAATGCCTATTGGTATTTAATAACTAGCATTCCACTTTATTAAACACCTGCCCGGAATGACACAATTTTTCCCCAACACGTCACATGCATGTGAGAAAGATTTTTTTCCACCCCCGGCGGCGCCGCATCACGGAAAAACTCAGAGCTGGGCGAACGCACTTCACAAATCCATTTTGAAAGTGATGCTTGGGAGTGGCAGATCAGACAAATTGCCGTCATTCCACATGTTTTGTGCGCAATACAGCCATGGAGAGACAGAAAAAATATGTGCCACAGACGTGCAAAATGATAATTATTTCCAACTTATGCTCAACATTGACTGCAATTTGTGACACAGTTGACACTGTGCACTTTGTCACTTGTCGCCTTATCACACCATTTTCAGCCACTGCATTTCTCCCAATGCATGCATTTTTCATGTCACATTATTAATGACGAAGCATTAAAATTTCTTCACATCCCCTCAAAAGCACAATCCCAGTCAATATGCCACAGAGTTGAGACTCTCTCGGTTAAGGGATTTTAAGAGATACTCATCGACATAAATTCAGTGTTATTTCCTTGGCTTTTCCCGATTTAATGCGCTAAGAGCGATTACAGACTTGCGAGTTACCCTCGAATCGACGGGAACTAAGATCATTCCTCTGTGGATGAGCTTGGAATGTGTAAAGATCAGATCAGCGACAAGTTGTGGTTGATTTGACTTTATATACTCACTCAAGAGTTATTCTTGATTTGTTTATTTTGTCTAGATTTTACCAAAAGCGATGGAATTTTACGTAAAAATTACGAAAATGGAAGATTCACAGAAGAATTAAATGATTCTAATAGCCCAGGAAATCATTCTCAAAGTATTCGCCATTTTGTGCGTTTTGAGCTGTCAAATGTGTCAAATAATTCGGTGAATTTCGGTTGAGCGCGCTGCCGTCGGAAACTCCAAAAATATCGGCTGAACCTTTGATATATCGAGGGATCACTCGCGCTTTGGTGCAGAGAAAAGCTCTGAAAACAATCCAATTCAACTCTGTTATCTATTCAGGACTCACAGTGAATTGAATCACTTCAATTCATATTTCTTCCAGATCCACATTGAATTGTATTTGCTTTAAAATTCCTTGTAATACATGGCCAAAAAAGGCGACACGGGTGGAAGGCTTTCGGGGGAGGCTGTTGGCGATGGTGTGGGTGAAGCTGTACAACAAAACGTGGAATTCACGAAAGAATTTCTGCAGCTTTGGGAAGGTGAGGTCGCGCCCGGAAGGGTGGGCGCGCAAAAAAGGCGGATAAGGGTTGAAGGGGGTGGAGAAAAAACGAGTACATGAGCGTGGAGTGTATTTTGGAGGGATGAAGGAGTGTTGAGAAAATGGTCGGGGGCCACAGGTGAAGGGATTTCAGGCAGAAAAACTGATTTCTTTGCCTCAGAAGCTCATACACTGCGCCATTCTGCTAACATTTTATCGCTATATTCATTTATTGAGAAATTCGACACGAAAAGAGGGTGTGTGGGTGAAAAATGAATTTTTGATAGCATATGTACGTTCGGATGTCTATAGGTGGCTTCCTTTTCCTCCCCCCCTTGTTGGGGCGGGGGAGGGCAGGCCTCGAGGAAATTTTATATGTGTGTAACATAAAAAGTACACCTTACATCATTTATTGGGAATTTGTCATACAACTTCGTCTCCGGCAAGATCTTGAGCCCTTCGCAAAATTTTCTCCACTCCACTTCCTCTCGTTCGCCACGCCATGGTCGATGATGGGTATAAAATGAAATCCTGACTTGAAGACATTCGCTCCGTGCTCCACCAAGGGGGAAGAATAGGAGACTCCAAGATATTTCATCAGTTGAAATTTTCAACGTAAATATGCCGACGGCTATTTATTGTGCGGTACAGCGTCGCTGTCAATATTGAAAAACCTCTTGCCAACCGTGGCATCAACTACTTTTTGCGCAATAACTTCCATTCCGCAATGAAAGGACTCTCGGGGCAATATTCTACCTCTGTAATGCATTGAAAATTCCATTTATAGCTATTTCATTTCCACGTACATATGTATGAAATACATTTTTTTTTCCTGTTCTCACAATTTGGGTTTATTTTTTCCGTTACATATTTTCGCGCAACGACACAGCAAACAAGGCGACCGCAGTAGAGCAAAATATACTGATAAATAATGAAATTAGGATTAGGTAAACACACACCTTCACGCCACAGATCAATTGAATTTTCATGCAATTTATCCTCACCATATTTTAATTAAATGCCAACACTCCACCGGAACTCCCTGCCGCCCTCCGGAAAAGTGCATTTTCTCGTCCACAGAGAAATATTCATAACAACTCCATCGACTTTCATCTTTTCGCCATAGTGAAGAATTTTTGAAGCTTCTTCAGCGGAATTTTCATAACAATGTGCACCCAGAGTTTGAGGCAGGAAAAAAATGTTTCCACACTCCACCAACCATTCCCACTATCACTAATTAAATCCCTCTCGTGCCCCCCCCCCCCCTAGAATGGGGAAAAAGCGGAGGAGTTGTGGAAAAAGTCTTTCTGAATTGTAATTTTATCCAAGCCATGTAAGTGTTTGTGCGTTAATTTAATCAGATTGTGTGAATTTCATGCGGAAAATCCTCCAGAGTGTGGACCTCTTGGCGTATAAATCACTTTTCCTCTTATTTAAATGTGCTGAAATTTGCATAATAGAGTGACTTAATGGGAATTTCAGGGAGGATAAATATATTGGCTATTTTTTTCCCCGAGAATCACTCTGTCAGCAATTACCCCGCATAGTCATTTCATCACCAGCAAAGCCATCTCTGCAAAATTACCTCCAGGAAAAGTGCACAAGTTCGTTTTGTCGCCCCGAAAAGGAATCTCCATAAGCAATCAGATAATTAAGTGTCCTGCTTAAAATGTGTCTCTCTCATAAACACAAAATAACTATTGCTCAGAAATCCTCTCTCCCTTTGGATCATTCGGCGCAATTTCATCATCCCAAAATGAAGAGACGCGCTGTTATTGTCGTAAATGCAAACGAGACGGTGCGAGGCTGGCAAGGTTGGAAGTGGTGAGAGTATATACAATTTTTAGTGTAATATACACTCAGGAGAAATGGGTGTCATATTAAAATGGAAGAACGCTGTAGAGCCAGAGTGAGTTGATATTTAAATTTTATACTTTATAATTCATAAAAGAATACGAGAAATGGAAGGTGAATTAAGTTGCAGTTTCGCGTGAGTCGGGCTCATGGGGTTGAGGGTTGTTGACGGTGACACAGAGAGCATCCCCTTCGCGAGTTGGTGGGCCCAAGCGACTGAACGGACGCGCTGGAGAGCCATGAAAACAGTTTTGCAGCTGTTGTCAAGGGGGAGATAATATACATTCAATCTATACACAACTTCCAAACACTTCTAAATTTGCCTCACACTTCTAGAACGTGAAGTTTTCAGACTCTCTTAAATTTCCATACGATATTTCCGCAACAATTCACTTTAAATAGCTTTTCAGGACATCTTTTCCAACCATAACCCCAAAAATATAACTAAAAGATCTTCAAAAACTCCGTTTCAAAGCTTTCTAGATCACAAAATCATCTGGTTATGATTTCCCGATGAACTAAGAAGTTTAGAAAATTTTTAAATAACAATTTTCCAGGTGTAAATGACTATTTTTGAGGTCATGTTTGAGTTCAATACAATTTTCAGTCAGAATAGAGATGTTTAGTGCTTGCAAATGTTTAATTCTGCCAATGACTAGCGATTAGCAC